TTTTGCTGACAGTGTCTTCCGCATACAAAAAAATGTCGAACATAGTTTGTATGGAAGAAACTCTCAGTAAAAACAATACCAAAAATCAACTAAATTTTTATGGGCTGCAAAACTTCATTTTCAAAATTTTTATAAAAAAGTCTGAATAGAAAGTTGCGAATTTGTATGCAAAATTATTGCATTTTCCCGAGTTTTGCACAAAGTTTAGAAATTTTATTTTTATGTTTTCTGATGTATTTAGTATAAACTGTATTTTTATAAGGAACAAAAAAGGTACATGCATTGTGGAAAATTCTCTGTACTTTAGTTGTGATAAATTGTTTTGTTTTGCTGGTGTACATTGTAATGATCTCATGTTTTTATGTTTTTTTTTGTCAAAATAAAATTTTACTACATCCTTTCGTACGTAATTTTTGTCGAAACGAAGGGGAAGGCAGCGAGAGGCCTCTGCCCCCCCTTAAGTGTCCCGGTTTGGCAACAGAGATATCTGGCAGCCCTATGCTATGTGCCTTGCAGATGCAGAGTTGCCTCTAAACATTTCCCGCCTACCTCGTCCGACCTTTGCGACGGGGGACCGCCCATCTTTTGACTCTTATGACTCAGTCGCTATTCGCTCGTCTCGAACCAACACCAAGTTAAATACTTTTATTTCAATAGTGCTATTGAGCTTTACACCACGATTTGTGTGTGGAAATGGAAAAGCAACAAACTCTAAGCGGTAGAAGTTATGGCTGGTATTGTCACTTGCGAAGCGAATAAATTTGGCGAAGCGAACGGTTTGGCGAACACACCTAAAATTTGCATTGTGAGTGGCGAATGAACTTTTTCGCCGAACATGCGTCGTTGCCATTCAAACAAATTAAATGACTTCATCCTCATTTGACGTTTCTGTCATTTATACTTCGAATTCCTTGTTATTACAAACTAAAATTTAAAAAGCAAAATGTTTTATAACGTAGATTTATATTTTGAGCATAGTTATAATGTTGAACCGCGAGCTAACCTTGTTCGTCAGCGGCGTTTTATTAGAGACTAGATCGCCCTCACCCGCTTCGCTGAGTGTATGAAATTTCTACGTGATACATTGAGTAAAATTTATTTCAAGAAAACTCAATTAAAAAACAGGAGGTTTAAAATTTGTTTAACCAGCTTCAAAATATTTTCAAACTAAAACGTTCCTAAACTTCTCACTTGTCATACTTTTTCAATTAACTTATCCCCTGAACTCAATTTGAGATTTTAAACAGATGGAAACCTCTTACATGTAGTTTTGAAATTAAGCCCTTTCAAGACTATTTCAATTGAATTCAAATTGAACTGAATTCATTTAAATCATTGAGTAGTTTGAATTTAAATTTTCAAACAGTTGGCAACCTTTTTCATTCATTCAAACCCATTTAGATTCATACCAATCTTCTACAACAATATATATTTTGAAAGCCGTTTTTTATGTGTTCGCAAAGCTCGAGAACGGCCGAACCGATTTTTTTTTAATTTCGGATACCTGCTTCACACGTCCCAAGGATGGTTATAGGCTAAAAATTTTAATATATGAAGGGGCGTGGCACTTCCCATACAAACCGATTTTTTCATACTGCATATCTCTGGAAGTGTTGAATAATATACTGTAGAATACTGGAACTTGGTACGGTAATATATGAAATCAATCTTATACTCAAGGGGTCATGGCGCCGCAAAAAAGTTTATATATAATTCTTGTGTCTGTGTGTTGGTGAGTGAAATCCTTCTAAATGCCCGGACCGATTTTAACGAAGTTTATTGTGTACTTTTGAGTGGCTCTCTGGAGAGCGTAGTTTCAAAACTTTACCCGCCAGTTGGCGCTGTAGTGAAGTTATAACTAAATTTTTTATTTATTATCCACTTCAAAATATTTATTGGTAACGGTAAAGGCAATACTATTGCCAAAAAGGGCTGCCAGATAGCGCTGGAGTCATTACGAATAAACACCAAGTTAGAAAAGGTGCCGTGAATGTCAAATTAAATCGACCTGTTGCGCCGTTGAGTATATCGAACTCTTATGTGTTACGATTGGCCCAATGGACGTGATATGCCAGTATTATTATGCGTTAAAGCTTCATTCTGAGACACCAGGGTTGAGTTGCAGAGTGGTAAATTTCAAGTCACCACCGATAAATCAACCACCAGAACCATTGCGCTGTACTGTAATATTTAAATTTAAATAATTGAATTTAGTTTTTAAAAATGTGGCAACCCTTGTGAAAGACTTAAATATTATTCAAAACTCTCAAACCAAAGGATTTTTAACAATATTTCGTTAGACAACCACATTTTAATTCTTCAGATAGGTTGCGCATAAGCAATTTAAATTTTACTTTTCAAACAGGTGGCAACCCTTTAAAAAATATATTCAGCCCTCATCCGTGAGTGGATAATGATTTTATATATCTCCGTATCAAGTTCCAGTAATATATCAAAAATATTTCCTGAGAAATGCTGTATGAAAAATTCCGTTTGTATGGGAGGTGCCACGCCCCCTTGTCTAATCGAGATTAAATTTATCCTATATTTTAAGTTGGGCTAAATGACAGCAGTATACAAAATTTCATGATGATCGGTTGAGTGGTCAAGGCGTGAAAGCAAAGCAAACAAACAAACTCACTTTCGGATTTATAATATTAGTAAGGATTACTCTAATCCTATGGAGCTGCCGTCCACAGTGTAAGTATCCAGTGCAAATAGGTTATTCAATGAAACATGAAAAATGTATGCATATATGTACAGTATATTTTGCTTTGCTGCCTTTATGCTTAAGTGCACCTTTAAGATACCTACCCCAAAATGCGCATCAGGGGCGTTATTTGTAACATTTGTAAGTAAACTGCTCCGATAGATGCATTCAACATACCTGCACATTGGCGATACCTGCCTTAAAAATTGTGCAACTAGTATCAATTATCAAAGAAAGTATTACGTTTACCTGCATTGGACCTACAATTACCTAATTTTACAAGCTTTTATTTATTTTGCTCATCTCGCAGAACAACGAAAATGGCTATCAATTTATGTAGTTATATAGATAATTAGATACCATTCGGTAAAAATTGCTCTGGCACTAATTTCTACGTGGTAAGTGCTCCTCCATTACTTGGTTTCATAGGGATTCGGGTACCTTCCTCATTGAAGTAGTAAAGAAAATTCGCTTAAGTACCTTTTTCGGTTAAGTGCACAAGTTTTTCGTACAAAGAAGGATGTGCAGCTAAGCAAAATATACTGTATATGTATTTATAGATTTATAGCGAATTTTCGGCTAAGCAAGGACGCTTTTATGTATGTGCTGGACAAAATCAAGGACAAATTTAATTGCCGCCTGTCCTCATCTGTAACGCCAATGCTAAAATTGTGTTGCGCACTGAGATTTTTTGCGCATGGCAGTTATCAGCAAGCTGTAGGAAATGAATTTAAATTGGGTCTTGCGCAACCTACAGTTTCGCTCATTTTGAAGGAGGTACTGCCCATTTTAGAAAGAGAAATTTGCAGTGCTTCGATAATCACAGAAATAACAGAAGAAGAGAAGCAACAGGCAAGGAACAAATTTTTCTCCAGATCAGGAATACCCAACGTGATTGGCTGTGTTGACGGAACACATATTGCGATTTATGCCCCCACTGCAAATAGACACCTCTATCTACATAGAAAAGGCTTTTTTAGTAACGGGTGATTTTTTAAGAGCTTGATAACTTTTTTTTTAAAAAAACGCATAAAATTTGCAAAATCTCATCGGTTCTTTATTTGAAACGTTAGATTGGTCCATGACATTTACTTTTTGAAGATAATTTCATTTAAATGTTGACCGCGGCTGCGTCTTAGGTGGTCCATTCGGAAAGTCCAATTTTGGGCAACTTTTTCGAGCATTTCGGCCGGAATAGCCCGAATTTCTTCGGAAATGTTGTCTTCCAAAGCTGGAATAGTTGCTGGCTTATTTCTGTAGACTTTAGACTTGACGTAGCCCCACAAAAAATAGTCTAAAGGCGTCAAATCGCATGATCTTGGTGGCCAACTTACCGGTCCATTTCTTGAGATGAATTGTTCTCCGAAGTTTTCCCTCAAAATGGCCATAGAATCGCGAGCTGTGTGGCATGTAGCGCCACCTTGTTGAAACCACATGTCAACCAAGTTCAGTTCTTCCATTTTTGGCAACAAAAAGTTTGTTAGCATCGAACGATAGCGATCGCCATTCACCGTAACGTTGCGTCCAACAGCATCTTTGAAAAAAATACGGTCCAATGATTCCACCAGCGTACAAACCACACCAAACAGTGCATTTTTCGGGATGCATGGGCAGTTCTTGAACGGCTTCTGGTTGCTCTTCACTCCAAATGCGGCAATTTTGCTTATTTACGAAGCCATTCAACCAGAAATGAGCCTCATCGCTGAACAAAATTTGTCGATAAAAAAGCGGATTTTCTGCCAACTTTTCTAGGGCCCATTCACTGAAAATTCGACGTTGTGGCAGATCGTTCGGCTTCAGTTCTTGCACGAGCTGTATTTTATACGGTTTTACACCAAGATCTTTGCGTAAAATCTTCCATGTGGTCGAATAACACAAACCCAATTGCTGCGAACGGCGACGAATCGACATTTCACGGTCTTCAGCAACACTCTCAGAAACAGACGCAATATTCTCTTCTGTACGCACTGTACGCATTCGTGTGGTTGGTTTAATGTCCAATAAAGTAAACTGAGTGCGAAACTTGGTCACAATCGCATTAATTGTTTGCTCACTTGGTCGATTATGTAGACCATAAATCGGACGTAAAGCGCGAAACACATTTCGAACCGAACACTGATTTTGGTAATAAAATTCAATGATTTGCAAGCGTTGCTCGTTAGTAAGTCTATTCATGATGAAATTTCAAAGCATACTGAGCATCTTTCTCTTTGACACCATGTCTGAAATCCCACGTGATCTGTCAAATACTAATGCATGAAAATCCTAACCTCAAAAAAATCACCCGTTATAAATGCTATGCTTGTAAGTTTTTAAGAAATTAATACAGCAACCCTGATAAACAAATTGTATATTAAAGGCTTGCGATCATGACATGAATATCCGGATGCTAGATATGCTGGTTCTACACATGATTCTTTCGTGTGGAACAATAGTTCATTAAAGACTTATTTGGAGAATGTGCATCAAAGTGGCGATCATAACTCTATTTATTTAGGTACTTTAAATTTGTTACATCGGCACAAAATTAATGTAAATACATTTTAAAACAAAAACTACTTATTTATAGGTGATTCCGGATACCCGCTTAGCCCTTATTTACTAACACTGTTACTGTTTAAACCTTAAGAATTAATTGTTGCTCTATTACAATCCTACTATAAGAAATCCCGAAATACGAAATATCTTTGTACGTTAAATTGCAACCATGCCTCGCACGTGTAAACGTCGTTGATTTGGACGAACTGATCTGTATGTAGCCGTTCGCCATTTCAGAGACGTACGAGGACACGGATAAGTAAGACATACATATAATCTGCTGGTGAATATTACCTTAATTAATTTCATTTACAGATATTAAAACCACTCCCAATCAGACTTAAGATAACGATTGTATAAAATCGTATAAATATACAATTTTCATTAAAGTGCGTTCCTAATATATCCGTGTTTCTATTTCGAACCACATCGTTAGCCGCCACTTTGTACGTCGCTTTAACGTTGCTATTGTGCCAGCAACATTCTTTTAATATTTATGCTGTGATTTCTCTAAATATTCGCACGGCGATTATCTATGAAATCATTGGACTTGCCACGTGGCAACCGAGAAACTTCCGAAGAAGAACAACGCTACCATTTGCGAAGTCGGATAGTCACATCGAACATTCGCGAAGTCAACATGGCCGACGAGAATTGTTCGAACAGTGGCGACGAAACTGACTGCACCATTATGCAACAAGACAGCACATTGGCAGATCTGCGCGAACAGATTAAAATGCTGCAGAAGTCGCTTGCCGCAGCGGAGCAAGATAAGCTCTGCTTAAAGGAAAAAATGAATCGTCAATCTATCGACGTTAATGCTGCCGAAGCTACTACCGCCAGCTTCAAAAATGTCGAACCTACAATACCCAGCCCTATCGTTACTAGCCGCTCAACAGCCGTCGCCTCAAGTTGCCTTGAAACTAATCTTAGTGCTGCCAGCGACTTAACTAGCGCTACCTCGGCCCACGAAAGGGCCATCGTAACCTTTGCCGGCGTAAACTATGCCAACGCCACTTCTGTCAACGCCACTGGCTTGTATCCAGTCTATGGTAACTATACCACAAATTATTCTCCAATGCAGTCTAGCCAGAACTTCGCAACCGCTCACCAAAGTACAGGTTTTCCGTCAATCAACAGAAGTGCCACAACTTCAACAGTAAGTACATCTAATTTGCCACACGTTTATATGCCGAATGTATCAGCTGCCTCCGTGATGAATGGCACCCATCCAACTTGGACCCCCGGTTGCTATTCACAAACACAAACACGAAAAATATTAGATTTGCCTGAATTCCACGGTTCGCCCGAGGAATGGCCTATGTTTTCTGTCGCCTTCAAGGAAACCACCAACATGTATTTTTACACAAATGTAGAAAATTTGTTACGCTTGCAGAAGGCGTTAAAAGGTAGAGCCCGACAGCAGGTGGAATCGTTGCTTATCCACCCAAATAGTGTAGAGGCTGCGATGAAAACTCTCGAATTTCATTACGGCCGACCGGAGTTATTAATCCGCAGTCAAATAGCAAAAGTTCGATCGTTTCCTGCAGTAACCGGAGGACGAATAACTGAAATCCTCAACCTCAGTGCTATAGTATCTAATTTAACAGCGTTCCTGGAAAATTCCGGAGCCATACCGCATCTCAATAATCCGACTCTTCTTGAGGAACTTGTGTGCAAGCTGGCAGTGAACAAGAGAGAAGAATGGTATCGTCATATATTTACTTTGCAAATTCCTTATCCCACTGTGCGTGATTTCTGCAATTGGTTGCAGCAAATTGCTACTTACGTGTCTATGTGCATCGATGTCATGCCTCCAAAGAATGCAGGAAATGAACAGGTTAGCAATAAAGTTAAAGCTTCATCAAAGCCAGTAATGACTGCCATCAATATTGAGAATATGTGTGCAATGTCTAAACAAAGCCATCAGCTGTATCAGTGCCACAAGTTTAAAGATATCGATTATGCTAGTCGTTGGAATTTTGTCAAAATAAATCGATTATGCTTCTGCTGTTTGTTTGTTTTTATCATGCAATAAGTTCCACAACCGATTACTCCATAAGGGACATGAAGATTCAAAGGGCAACACTGCTCTTGAGAGCACAGCCGTTGCCACAGTAAGTGGCTATCAAACTGTGCAACAGAACTCGGCTAAACAATATAAACAGTGCAGTCAGACACTATTGAAGTATTTGCCCGTCAAACTAAAAGGTCCGAAAGGGGAGATAAACGTTGTCGCCTTCATTGACGAAGGAGCGAAGATATCACTGCTAGAGGAGAAAGTAGCTAACGCAATCGGGTTGAAAGTCAAAACCGACATGCTTCGTTTGAAGTGGATCGGCAACCACACAACTAGCGAACATTCGCGGCAAGTATCACTTGAAATTGCCGGCGACGTTGAAGCAGCAGAATTTCATCACATGAGTGGTGTGCGCACAACGAAACAGCGGTATCTGCCGCAGCAGACGTTGAGGTTGCGCGAGTTCACGCAACAGCATACAGAACTGAAAGACATTTGCATTAGTGATTACAACAACGCTGTGCCGCAAATTCTTATTGGATTGCCGCACTCGAACTTAACGCGAACAATTAAAGCAATGAATTTCCATGAACCAACGACTACAGATCACCTAATCAGCCATCGTTGTATTTGTAATCGATTTTCAGAAAAAAGTTTTCGTAGCGTTTTTTGACGTTTTTCGGGTTTGTTTACATCGTCTTCTACCTCTTCGTAGTGATTTTTTAGCGATTGAATGTGTTTTCTGCAGCGATTTTAATTATAAATTTTGGTTTATTACATATTTATGATATAAAATAAAGTGCTGTGTGGTCGGAACAAGTTTGTGCGTATGTTTGGTTTGCCAAAAGGCGTAAATTTGCGTGAAAAGTGGGTGCACGTTTGTGGCCAGAACGGTGGCATTGAAAAATCGACCCGTGGTAATGATATGCGATTGTAAAACACTTTCAATCATGAAAACCATATTTTATGAACTTTTTTTGCTAATTGTCATCAAGTTTCACTTTGTATATTTTATAATAAATACCGATTTAATCGCACTCAATCACCGCGCCTTTTTCGTTTTCTTTGTTTGTTTTCATTCTTAGGCAGATGTCAAAAACACTCAGAAATATACTTTTTTCTTGCTTCTTTGATTAGGTGATCTTGTATTTTTGGTTCATGATGAATTTCGACGATGGTTTTGCTGTCCACAAAACAAATTTGGGTTGGACTGTGTTTGGATCGAACGAAGAATCTGCTAGCGATGGCACTATTTGTCATGTAGATATAGAGATGTGCAAGGCGTACGAAGTGAACAAACAAATAGCAGAATACTTTTCTGCCGAGAACTTCGAGATAAAGCAATTGCCAATAATAAAATCAGAAGCAGATAAAAGAGCGCAAAAGTTACTAGAAGTGACTACAAAATTGAAGTCCGGAAGATATGAAACTGGCCTGCTGTGGCGTAGTGAAGACGTTGAATTTCCTGAAAGTTTTTCTATGGCAGTGAAGCGACTTGAACAAGTTGAACCAAAGATGGCCAAGGACTCTGAGTATGCAGAGTGGTACAACAACAAAATTAAAGAGTATGCGGAAAAGGGCTACGCGAGGCAGCTTACGTCATTCGAAGCAAGTTGCACGGACCAACGTACGTGGTATCTACCACATTTTGCTATATGTAATCCTAACAAAGGCAATAAGCGTAGATTGGTATTCGATGCAGCAGCAAAAGCACACGACATGAGTTTAAATAGTGCGCTCATGAAAGGACCAGACGAATACCAGCCGAAACCGCCCATGTCAATACTGTTTAAGTTCCGACAGGGTCGAGTCGGAGTATGTGGAGACATCCGCGAGATGTTCCACCGCATTCTCATCCGCCATGAGGATGAGAACTCGCAGCGCTTCCTTTGGTGAGGGGGCGATAGACTCAAGCAGCCTGATGTTTACGTGATGTGCGCTATGATTTTTGGATCAGTCAGTTCTCCGTGTTCAGCGCAATTCATTAAGAATTTGCATGCATACAAATTTCAAGATTGCTCGCCGAGAGCAGTAAACGCTATAGTCGATCGCCATTATGTTGACGACTACATGGACACTTTTCATACAGTCGAAGAGGGCGTCAACGTAACAAAACAGGTGATAGGTATTCATGGCAGCGCAGGGTTTGAGTTACGAGGAATAATTTCTAATTCAAGCGAGCTTATGGAAGCTGTAGCCAGTAATGCTCAACCGCGGTTACCGCTAATTCACAATCCGTGTCGAACTGAATTCGCATCAGAGAAGGTGCTCGGTATGCACTGGAACCCGACAAAAGATTATCTTTTTTTCAAGTTACTTTTCGCCAAAGTGTCAACCTCAATCCTCGACGGTACTAGACGGCCAACAAAAGGCGAAATATTGAGCGTCTTTACGTCAATCTTTGATCCGCTCGGGTTTCTCTGCAATGTTGTGCTGCGTGCCAAAATACTAATGCAAAGACTGTGGCAACGTAACGTTGATTGGCACGAGCCAATCCCTGATGATATTTACGACAAATGGTTGGATTGGTACAGAAGCTTGAACTGTATTGAATGTTTCCAGATGCCAAGGTGTTACAACCCGAAGTTTCTTGAGCCAGATGCAGACGTGGAACTACATGTTTTTGTGGATGCGAGTGAACTTGCATTCGCAGCTGTAGCATTCTGACGCATCACCCACGAGGGTTCTACCGTAGTGTCGTTTGTCGCTGGAAGGTCACGATGCAGTCCATTGAAACCGATCTCCATTCCAAGGATGGAACTCCAATCAGCTGTACTCGGAGTACGATTGAAGGAAGCAGTCGTCAACAGTCACGATGTTAAGCCAACTTCAGTGACGTTCTGGTCCGATTCGAAAACAGTTGTCCAGTGGGTGAGGTCGGACGCAAGGCGCTACAAACAGTTTGTAGCACACCGGATAACAGAAATCCTGCAATCATCCGACGCATCTCAGTGGAGGTGGGTACCCGGCAAATATAATCCTGCCGACGACGCTACCCGCATTAAGGCGTTCGACATAAACGGTAAGTGGTTGAATGGCCCACCCTTTTTAAAGTTAAGTAAAGACGAGTGGCCCGCCATGCCCGGCGATCTAAGACCAGACGGATGCGAAGAAGAAGTGCGTTTTAAGCAGCTGTATTCAATAAACAAAGTTGAAGAGTATATTCACTTTCACAAACATTCAAATTACTACAAATTCCTCAAAGTCATGAGCTGGGTCCTGCACGCTGTTAGAATATTTCGTGACAAAAGACATGTCGTCCCAAAATTATTAAACGCGCCCGATATAAAAACTGCTGAGACATTAATTTGTAGATTAGTGCAAGAGACGGAATTCTTTGACGAAATAAAGGTCTTACAAAGTGGGTTGCCGGTAAATAAAGCTAGCCCGCTATACAAATTGAATCCTATTATAGACGATGACGGTGTAATGCGACTTGGCGGACGCATTGACTACGCAGAATGCATTCCGACAGCTACAAAAAGGCCTATAATTTTGCCAAAGGGTCACGCTCTTTCACGACTCATTGTTAAACATTTTCATGAACTACATTATCACCATAATTTTGAGGCAACATTCTGCTCAATACGTTACAAATTTTGGATCCCGAGTGTACGCCGTCTACTGAGGTCGGTCAAAGTGGACTGTCAATTTTGTAAGAACATTTCAGCAGACGCTACCATTATTGTTCTTAAAAATTTTATTAATCGAAGAGGTGTACCGGTTCGAATCAGAAGTGACAGAGGCACGAACTTTGTCGGTGCCAGCAAAGTGGAATGGCTGAATGTTGAGCAAGGCATAGCAACCGAATGTAATCGTCAAGGCGTTGAGTGGATTTTCAACACTCCAGCGAATACCTCTGCAGGTGGCATATGGGAAAGGATGGTACGTGCCGTCAAGAAAGTTCTGTCGTTCACTTTAAAGGAACGCGCGCCACAGATCGAGACTTTACAGAGTTTATTAATAGAGGCAGAGAACTTAGTAAACTCGCGTCCTTTAACCCATGTACCGATTGAGAGCACAGACGCAGACCCTCTCACGCCGAATCATTTTCTTTTGGGTTGCCCCAACTTCGTGCAAACTGCTGCCGTCCCCGAAAGAGGGTGTCTACGGAAGCAGTGGCAAATAACGCAGCAATTAAAGCAAACGTTTTGGAAACGTTGGATGTTGGAGTATCTTCCAACTCTGACTCGCAGAACCAAATGGCATAAAAGGGTGAAGCCAATAAGCATTGGGGACGTAGTCATAGTATGCGACGACAATGAAAGCCGCGGTCAGTGGAAACGAGGTATAGTAGTTGAAGCTCAGCCAGCCGCTGATGGTCAAGTCCGATCGGTCCTAGTGAAGACGGCTTCCGGAAACCTACGACGACCAGCATCCAAGATAGCAGTTCTTGACGTGATTGGTGCTTCTCTCGATCCCGACTCGAACCACGGGGGGCAGAATGTTACTGTTTAGACCTTAAGAATTAGTTGTTGCTCTATTACAATCCTACTATAAGAAATCCCGAAATACGAAATATCTTTGTACGTTAAATTGCAACCATGCCTCGCACGTGTAAACGTCGTTGATTTGGACGAACTGATCTGTATGTAGCCGTTCGCCATTTCAGAGACGTATGAGGACACGGATAAGTAAGACATACATATAATCTGCTGGTGAATATTACCTTAATTAATTTCATTTACAGATATTAAAACCACTCCCAATCAGACTTAAGATAACGATTGTATAAAACCGTATAAATATACAATTTTCATTAAAGTGCGTTCCTAATATATCCGTGTTTCTATTTCGAACCACATCGTTAGCCGCCACCTTGTACGTCGCTTTAACGTTGCTATTGTGCCAGCAACAAACACCCTTCCGCCATGCAGACTCTGGAACTAGGTAGTCAATTTTTAATAAGAAGCACGCGAATGCTAGAAACGTCGTTGAACGTACGATCGGGGTTTTGAAATGTCGCTTCAGATGCCTCGTGAGTGATCGAAAAATGCGCTAAGATCCTGCTAAAGTAACTTCGATTATAAACATATGCTGCGCTTTCCACAATATCTGTAAGAAATTTAGAATTAGTGATCCAGATGAAGCTGAAATTTTTATTGACGCCATTGTATCTTCGGAACCATTTAATGAAGATGCCAATGATACACCAGGGGATCATCGCCGAAGACAAATAGCTGATGCTTTGTTGTAAAATGAATTGTAGTCCGTTTTATTGAATAATTTCAAAACAATTTACTTTGTGTTCTTTTTATTTAATTTCATGCTTTTGAATTTTTTATTACACACAGGTTAAATTAAACAAAATTATTTCTATGCTTTTAACTAATTAAAAATCACAACTTAAATTCAGTAATTTCATAAAATATACATAGAATTAATAAAAAATCACAAATTAAATTCAGTCATTTAATAAAATATACTTAGAATTAATAAAAAATCACAAATTAAATTCAGTACTTCAAGATTGTTAAACTTAAAATAAGTTCATCACATGTTTTGGAAATTAAAATAAAAAATCACAATTTCAGTAACTTACAGATAAGAATGAAATGAAACTAAATGATTGGGAACTAACTAAACA